TGATGTAATCAATGTTAGCCAAGCATGTGCGAAGACCAGAGGGGGGGGGGGTTATTGTAGTTATAGTTTAACTGCGTTTTGCTAATTGCCTTTGAATCTCTGCATCTTTTTAAATCCTTTATATTAAGTTCACTTGCTTGCTTGCTTGCGCGCTTACGACCGTGCAAATCTTTCGGTCGTTTTTTTAACCCACTTCCCGTGATCCAATCGAGCTGACATTTTGCACACAGACTCGTTGTGCGTGACAATTTATTTTCGTAAAAAATGTTTTCCAAAATTTTCAACATTTTAGGATTTTTTTTATATTTAATTACCAATTGCTTAATGGTGGCAGGCAATCATCTGACCCATAGGTGGCAGCCATCTCAAGCCAGAGGACGAGAGGACTCTAGCCGCCCGTTTCAAAGACCAATGTGAGCTGGGTTGTGGCCCATATAAAGGATTTATAGTGAAAAACTTTGTTTTTACGGGTTACTTTTTTTTGGTTTCGTTTAATTCAACCTATCGTGAACGAAACTAAATCACCAGCAATGCTGTTGTTGTTCTCTGCGCTTTGTTGCACCACGAACGACGGCGGCGTCGAGCGGGCAGAGCGGTTTCGTCTTAAAAGGCGCGGAGGATCGAGTGTGATCTCGGAAGCTAAGCAAGACGGAGCCTGGTTAGTGGCTGCATTATTGACCACTGGGGCTTGCCAGGCATTGTAGATGTGGGTTGGGCGGCGAGGTGTGGCCAAGAGATGGCGGCGGCGGTGGTGGTGGTGGGATTAGCCGTGGCTGGGAATCGAACTTAGGTTGCCGTGTTCATAACACGGTTTGCTAACCACTGCGCCACCGCTCCACTCCAAATTAGCAATGGCGATGATGATTATCACAGTGGCCTAATCGCCCTGCCTGTGCGCAATTGCGTTTTATCTCAGAAATCTAAGCGGGTTTTGAGCCTTGTTAGTGGCTGCGGCTTGCCAGGTGTTGTAGGCGTGGGGTGTCCAGGTGTGGCCGGGACACGGTGGTGTTTAGGGTCACTCCTCTCGTATCTATGGGAGGTTTTCCCCAGGGATATTCGGTTTCCTGCTACGGTGGCGAGATGTTAACTACCTCGCCTGGTATACAGGAGGTTGTGGGTTCGATCCCGGCCCTAACGTCTTTATATTTGGAGTTTGCGTGTTCTCCCCGTGGTCGTGTGGATTCCTTTCACGTTTAGAGGCATGCGTTTAGAATATTTGGTTGTTGTAAGTGTCCACACGTGCTTGCGAAAAAAGATACACTAACGGAAATTGACCTTTGGGAGGCCGGATATTGATTACGTGATCATAACTCTCCAAAGAGCAGGCGCAGCATTAACATTCGACGTAAGCTGACACGGACACGTTAATACGGACACGGTACTGCTGTACACGCGTTTACGTAATGCATTGCCTCAGCTAGAGAATCAAGTCAACGTTAAACATTGACGGTGACAAGTGCAGTCGAGAATCAATCATGAGCCATGACACCGAGACGACCGCCCCGGATTATCCCGTATCGGGTGATGCGTGCGTGCGATTCACCGCTAATTTGAATTTCAAGCCAATATTTGATGATGATGATGACGACGACGATGATGCTACTTGTGACGATGCTGGAAGTGCAAATAATGATGCCGGTGATGATAATGGACTGTGGGTTGTATGAGTCTATGGGTTTATGTGTGAGTCTATGGGTTTGTGTGTGATTGTATCAGTTGATGTGTGAGTCTATGAGTGTATGTGTGCGTGTATGGATTTATGTGTGAGTCTATGGGTTTATATTTGAGTCTATGAGTCCATGTTTGAGTCTATGATTTTATGTGTGAGTATATGGCGCCCTGTGTGTTTGTACGGATCTCTATATGAGTATGTGCGTATATGGGTCTCTATGCGAGTATGTGGGTTTCTATGTGAGTGTGTATCTCTGTGCGAGTCTGTGGGTCTTTATGTGAGCGTATGGGTGCGAGTGTGTGTGTCTCTGTGTGGAGTGTGTGGGTCGCTGTGTGAGTATGTGGGTTTCTATGTGAGTGTGTATCTCTGTGTGAGTCTGCGGGTCTTAATGTGAGTGTATGGGTGCGAGTGTGTGTGTCTCTGTGTGGGAGTGCGTGGGTCTCCGTGTGAGAAAGCGCTGATGATGAATCCACTGCGTGTGCATTCCACGACTCGTTGAACCCACAGGCAACGCGTTGCTATCACCCGGGGGAGCTGAAACGCCGGCGTGGACTTTGTAGCCGCTTCTCTGGCCGTGTCTCGTTGCCCCGCGCCCTTGCTCCCACGCACAGCACACGTCCAAGCCCCTTTGCCAATCCACTGCTGGGGCAGTTCGACTTCCAACGCCGTGCGGGACGTGGAGGGCTCATATGACCATACTTCACCACGCTGGTCAATGGGAGTCTTGGGGGTTCCCGTCGCACCTCTCGTCACAAACCCCCTTCCACCACCCCGCGAGAAGCAAATAATCCAATCAGCGGAGAGCTCCAACTCTTTGGAGTCCCGGCCTCAAGCACGGAACTCAATAAATAAATGCGGGTTTTGCGAACATGGGGAGCGTAGAATCACAGAATATCAATGGGGGCAAGCTGCACGGTACTCTGCTGTCCACAGCGTCGGCCGGCAGCGTTGTGCCAATGAGAGCGGTGCTATTGCAAGACCCCCGGGGTCACTGTCGCGGCCCCTGGTGGCATCTCGTGCGGCTCCCCATCATCGTGCTGCTGTCAAACCCCCCAATGGTGTCAAACGTGCAGCGGCCCTCACCAACGATGATGTCTCGTTGGCGAAAGTGGGCCCCCCCCTCTGAAAACTAGTGAACAACACCGCATTAGTAGAGACTCGCGTTTGTCAAGTGAAGTTTAATTCGCATGGAAACTTTGAATTAAGTGGACATGGTTGATGCTTGCTTGATGTACTGGACAAGTTAGCAAATTAATTCCTGCACCCTATGCGTCTTTCGGGAAGAATCGGGTGCACTCGCCCACGCTCAGTAATGGATCTGGCCAAACATTCCCAGTGCAGGACCCTCCTGAACAGTGTCCTTCCAGGAGGCGTCTTCACTCAGTGGGACGTCATTGGTTCTCGTCTGCTGCCCCTATTGCTCGCTACCCCCCCCACCCTCTGCGTCTCCCAGCCACCGTTAAACTCCGGCTCAAGACCCGCATCATCTCTTCTGACTACAGCAGTGCCTGACCCTCTCTAAAAAAGTGAAAATGCCTGCCCACTGTTTTCGTACAGGGTCTTGAGATGCAGTGTCATTTATACGCTACATACATTCCACAGTTTGATTTGTAACTGAAAATTGCAGCTTTTACATTAGTATCAAGCCCGTGAATGACACATATCAACACATATCAACATAATCGGTTTTTTTAGACTGGAGGAATCCAATGAGCCTTGATTCCTCTTACTCACACATCTCACGTCACTCATACGCTGTGTTTACCAGCTGCTGTTATTGGGAAGGCCTGTGATGACAATGCCTGCAATGCGCCCCATCTCTTCAGATGTCGGAAGCTAAGCTGGCTTGAGCCTGGTGATCGCCATACATTATGAACACGTGGTGTAGGCGGTGATGGCTGACTGCCTGTGATCCAGCACTGTGGAGGAAGCAGCGAGGGTTGGTGGATTACCGCACTGATGGTGTGAAACTCCCTTCCCGTGGACATCGAGGAGGAGCCGTTCCCAGGCTCTCCAGGAGAAGGCCGTACAGCGAGTGGACTAATCGCCACATGTTTCCATCTGTACGGGGATAGAGTTTTGCTCCGTCGCGCGCACATGCGTTTTCTCCAGGTGCTCCGGTTTCATCCCCCACGTGTATAACAAACACTCATCATCGTTATTGGAGTGAAAACATATTTCATTAAAAAAAAATTGGCAGCAGGACCCTTTTTTTAAATAATAGTCCTACGACGAAGTGTGTCTCTCCTGGATAAATAAGTAAAACCAATAACAAGTAAAACCCTTAAAAACAAAGTTTTTCACTATAAATCCTTTATATGCGTGGCGGCTAGAGTCCTCTCGTCCTCTGGCTTGAGATGGCTGCCACCTATGGGTCAGATAATTGCATGGCAGCATTAAGCAATTGGTAATTAAATATAATATTTTTGTCCTAAAAAGTGTAAAATTTTGGAAAAAAATTTTCACGAACATTAATTGTCACGCACAACGAGTCTGTGTGAAAAATGTCAGCTGGATTGGATCACGGGAAGTGGGTTAAAAAACGACCGAAAGATTTGCACGGTCCTAAGCAAGCAAGCAAGTGAACTTAATATAAAGGATTTAAAAATGCTCCAACGTCTACGCGACCAGACTTCACCAACCCACGCGGAGCAAAGTGGTGAAGTATGGTCAAACATCCCCCGCGAGCCGCACGGCGTGGCGAGGCGCTGCGTACATTGGAGGCGACCGCTTCGTGAGTTGCAGGATTGCCGTGAAAACGGGCTCGCAATTTAGACTCCCTCGATATCAACGCAAATCGCCATCGTAAAACGCCGAGGGTAAATCACGCGCTCGGTTCTGCTGAACACATCGCTTCCCCGCCTGGCAGCTGCTGTTCTTCGGGAAGATTTACGCGGTTGGCTACGTACGGTGCGAAAGAAGTTCTACGTGCATACACACAGGGGAGGGGTGCGGAATGAGGGGTGCCTGGAGGCGGTGACCATGTGTGCTGTTACAAGCTTCCAATAATAACTCCTAACAACCACGACTGCACATTTCGACTTAAAGCTTTCGTGACTGCAGGGATTCATCTTCTTGGTTCTTTCGGTAAAGTCACGTATAAGGGAAGTAATAAAATAATTAAAAATAAAACATAATAAAATAATTCTCACGACGTTTCGGCCACAACGCAACCAAGAAGATACGACTGCACATTTAATGATGGCGCTGTGTGTTGCTGGCCGCTTGACGTTTTGTCCCCCCCCCCACCCCCTCCGCCCCCCCTCCGCCTCCTCCGCCCCCCTTCCGCCCCCCCCTCCACCCCCCCTCCGCCCCCTTTGCCCCACAGGCTGCCCTGGAGAGTGGGACCGATTGATATGCCTGCCGCCAGCAGCGCTGGGCGAGTCGGTGAACCTCACTTGCCCCGACATCCCCATCTTCACAAAGAGGGGTGCGGCGCGCATGAGGTTACCACTACGTCCCGGTTCGTCCGGGACAGTCCCCCCCCCCGGTGGCTTCAGAAAGACTGCTGCTACCTTCCCCCGACGAAGATCTGTTTTGAAAGTCAAGATTTTGTCGCCGGTTCTAATACGTCTGGCTCCATCCATAGTCGACTCACGAAGCGGGCTAAAGGGTGGGGCTATCCGAACAGTGGGCGGAGTTACCTGGGTGGGCGGGGCTACTTGGGTGGGCGGGGTTACCTGTATGGGCGGGGCTACTTGAGTAGTGGGCGGGGCTACCTGGGTAATGGGCGGGGCTACCAGGGTAATGGGCGGGGCTACCCGGGTAATGGGCGGGGCTACCTGGGTAATGGGCGGGGCTACCTGGGTAGTGGGAGGGGCTACCTGGGTAGTGGGCGGGGCTACCTGGGTAGTGGGCGGGGCTACCTGGGTAGTGGGCGGGGCTACCTGCGTAGTGGGCGGGGCTACCTGCGTAGTGGGCGGGGCTACCTGGGTAGTGGGTGGGGCTACCTGGGTAGTGGGCGGGGCTACCTGCGTAGTGGGCGGGGCTACCTGGGTAGTGGGCGGGGCTACCTGGGTAGTGGGCGGGGCTACCTGCGTAGTGGGCGGGGCTACCTGCGTAGTGGGCGGGGCTACCTGGGTAGTGGGTGGGGCTACCTGGGTAGTGGGTGGGGCTACCTGGGTAGTGGGAGGGGCTACCTGGGTAGTGGGAGGGGCTACCTGGGTAGTGGGCGGGGCTACCCGGGTAGTGGGTGGGGCTACCTGGGTAGTGGGAGGGGCTACCTGGGTAGTGGGCGGGGCTACCTGGGTAGTGGGCGGGGCTACCTGGGTAGTGGGAGGGGCTACCTGGGTAGTGGGCGGGGCTACCCGGGTAGTGGGTGGGGCTACCTGGGTAGTGGGAGGGGCTACCTGCGTAGTGGGCGGGGCTACCTGGGTAGTGGGCGGGGCTACCCGGGTAGTGGGCGGGGCTACCTGGTTAGTGGGCGGGGCTACCTGCGTAGTGGGCGGGGCTACCTGGGTAGTGGGTGGGGCTACCTGGGTAGTGGGAGGGGCTACCTGGGTAGTGGGTGGGGCTACCTGGGTAGTGGGTGGGGCTACCTGGGTAGTGGGAGGGGCTACCTGAGTAGTGGGCGGGGCTACCTGGGTAGTGGGCGGGGCTACCTGGGTAGTGGGTGGGGCTACCTGGGTAGTGGGAGGGGCTACATGGGTAGTGGGCGGGGCTACCCGGGTAGTGGGTGGGGCTACCTGGGTAGTGGGAGGGGCTACCTGCGTAGTGGGCGGGGCTACCCGGGTAGTGGGTGGGGCTACCTGGGTAGTGGGAGGGGCTACCTGGGTAGTGGGCGGGGCTACCCGGGTAGTGGGTGGGGCTACCTGGGTAGTGGGAGGGGCTACCTGAGTAGTGGGCGGGGCTACCTGGGTAGTGGGAGGGGCTACCTGAGTAGTGGGTGGGGCTACCTGGGTAGTGGGAGGGGCTACCCGGGTAGTGGGTGGGGCTACCTGGGTAGTGGGAGGGGCTACCTGGGTAGTGGGCGGGGCTACCTGCGTAGTGGGAGGGGCTACCTGGGTAGTGGGAGGGGCTACCCGGGTAGTGGGAGGGGCTACCTGGGTAGTGGGAGGGGCTACCTGGGTAGTGGGAGGGGCTACCTGGGTAGTGGGAGGGGCTACCTGAGTAGTGGGTGGGGCTACTTGGGTAGTGGGCGGGGCTACCTGGGTAGTGGGAGGGGCTACCTGGGTAGTGGGAGGGGCTACCCGGGTAATGGGTGGGGCTACCTGGGTAATGGGTGGGGCTACCTGGGTAGTGGGAGGGGCTGCCCGCCCACCTCATGATGAGCCTCCAAGAAACGTGGCGGCAGGCTTAGTTGAGCAGCCATTTCGCATGCCTCCAGTTATTTGTGGGTAACAAACTCCACCTGTGCATTTCCTCCCCAGCCTCCAGACACGAACCGACACTGCGAGCTTGATCTGTCACCACGGTTCGATTAGCTATGATGTCCTCAGACGCCCCCCCCCACCCCTCCACCCACCCACCCGCACCCTCCCTCATCCATCCTACCCTCCACAGCACAAAGTCAATTAATCAGACCAGAAATTGGTACCGCCCGCCTGAGGTGGCAAAACGTTAGTGCTCCTGCTTTAATATTGCCATTAAAAATGCATTACTGAATGTAATGCCTTTTCAGTAAATCATCGGTAGCAGCAGCAGCAGCAGTTTTGTCATCAATATTATCAGTAGCAGTTTCATCATCAACAACAACAGCATTATCAGCAGCAGCAGCAGCTACACTAAGGAAACAAATGTGGCCTATGGGTGGCCCTGACCACACCAACCCTAAAGGACCTTGTCAGCCTTAATCATCATCAGAATCATCAATCATCATCATTAGACGCTGCCTATCCACTGCTGGGTGAAGTAAGGCCTCTTCGCACGCGCTCGCCATCACTCACGGCCTCATGAAGCCACAATCCATCTCGCTCCTGCGCGACAGCTGATCCGATTGCTCCATCTCCGATGCTGTCGTACCCTCTTGGGCATTCAGTAGCCTCCACAAGTAAATCTCATCTCGGGTTCATCATCACGATCCATTTGTTTCCACGTTCCTCTCTGTATTGTGGCAGTGTGCTCAAGTAGTGCCACCTTGTTCTGGCAACAATCGCTTAAGTCGTCGTCGTCAAGCGATTCTCTGTTAAGTCTTCCTCTCTTTCCAGTTCCTTGTATTTTTCCGAACAGCACACGTTTAATTATCCTGTTGTTGTCCATCCGACACATGTGTCCAAATAGTGCCAGTTTCCTTCCCATCACTGCCTGCATCACCAGCTCTTCTTCTGTATGCAACCTTTTTTATGCTTCTACGTTGGTCACTCTTTGGGTCCAGCTTAGATGCAGTATCCTTCTGTAGCAATGCATCTAAGGTTAGAGACCTTTAAAGCAAGAAGAAGAAGAAGAAAAACAATACAAGGCGCTAAGATGTGCAAGATCAGTTATCAACTCAACATTGACCACCAAAGCAGAAAACTCACGAAACACTCTAACCTACCCGCTCCCCCACTCCCTCTCCTAAACGTCCCCCGCCACTCGTCATTCATGACCAAGTCACCCTGAACGTGACTCTCTCAAGCTTAGCAGGTTGGAGCCTGGTGAACACTTGGATGAGAGAAGAGACTATCAGGGAATACCACGTGTTGTAGGTCAGCGCTGCCGGGTTCAAGCATAGGAAGTCGCAGCATAGCAAGGTCGGTTCGTGAGCTCCGTCCAAACAGAACTTGTTATTCAAGTGACACCTCCCCCTCCCCCCCCCCGAATGCACCGTGGCTTTTTTTTCCTCCCACACGAAGCCAAACCCCCTCGCTTTTTTCTACGGAACAGGCCAAACATCGCAATGCGGGAGGACTCTCCTGACTAAACGAGTCTTGAGACTTTGCCGCGTATACGAAACGCAATAGCAATTACAACGTTAAAGTCCTCTTTGAACGCGTTCTGTGCGCTACTGGAATTGCGCGCTTAGCTTCCCCGTGGGATGAGTGTTTTACTCAGCTCTTCGTGAGCAATCGAATGGGGGAGGCTCGTGGTTGAACGTGGGACGTTATCCCTGCGCGTTTTGGCAGCGGCATCTGAGCATGGAATGGTCGCGCCAGAGGTCGCAAACGGGTTTTGATTCCTTACCCATACCCGTACCCGGCCGCACCAGGGTCGCAAACGGGTACCCGTACCCGGCCGTACCCGTACCCTCCCGATGACGATCGCTTGTGTTGTTATCGAAACGTCTTTTTTTGTTTCTTTTTTATAAATTTGAACCTATCTACGTGACTTTACCGAAAGACCCAAATAATATTATCAGATACATGCAGAGTAAATGCACTGCTATTGGCTACATCAAGAAATTGGAACCGCTAAATACATGCCATCTGAGGGTGGTACCGACAAGTGAAACATTTGCGCTCGTGGGTGAGAGAGGTTGAGTGAACGCGGTGTGTCTATGATCAGATGCGAAGAGCGGTCACGTAGTGAGTGAATGGTTAGCGCACCGCTCTACTAATACGCAGTTCAATTCCCTCTCACAGCTAACATAGCTGCCAAATCGAGACTGTATCTGTGTGAGATTGTGTGCGAGTGTGGTTGTGTTTCCTCTTCTGTGTCTGTATGGGCCAGTGTGTGTGGGGGGTGTGTGGAGTGGTGACGCAGTGGTTAGCGTGCAGCACCACTAATCCAGCAAGCCCCAGTTCGATGTAAGCTCACGGCTAACTCCCAGTAACGATTATCCAAAACCGGTCCTGGGCCTCCCCTTAGGCCGACTCAGGCTGAAATGCCTACCTGAAGCAATGGGGGAAAACAAAGGCGGCCGGGCGTGGTATTGGTCACGCCCACCACCCTTCTCTTGTGTGCCGTGCGGGCCTTCATAGGTGCTGACTCGCTCAAAGCACTTGCCCCAACGGTCCGTTAAAGGCTATATACGGGGACGGGGGTCTTTGCCTTTGCTTTCCGCGCGCAGGTGTGGTGACGCACACGTGCACGCGCGACGGATGGGACGATCCGCAGCCATCCTACATCCACGCGTGCGGCTACGTCTTCCACAACGAGGAAGGGCCCGACCGGGTGAGTTCCCAGACTCTCACCCCCAGGTCCCTCCGTGGCAGAGCGCGAGAGAGAAAGAAAGAGAGAGTGAGCGCGTCACCATCGCGCGGGCATTGTCAGCCAGCCTCGCTGGCAACTCCTCGCGATGAATCGAAACCACGGACCCTGAATTGCCGACGCGGCCGCCGCAACGAGGACGTCCAATGTAGCTACGCAGTGCTGAGCCTGGTGGATATAATCGGATAGCAGGTGTTGTCGGTAGGGCCGTCCATTGGGTCGCTGTCATTGGGGCCGTTGAGTGGGCCCTGGGTGGGCAAGGGTGCAGTTGTTGAGTCTGTCATCCGTTGGTTGCTCCACTTCACAGCCGCAAGTGGAAGGCTGTCGTTTAGACTCCACAGTGGTTTAACATCCGTCCATACGCATCATTCTCTGCCTTCGTTATCTTTATTCAGCTCGGAGCACTCAATGTTGATGGCTTTATTTTGGTGATTTCGAAAAGTGTATTGGTTTAGCCATGTTTGTTTGTTGTAGTTTGTTGTAGTACAGAGTTAGACTGATGGCCTTAATCTAAGCTGTCTTGTGGTTGTTGTTGTTGTTTGACTTGCATCCCACTGAGATTTTTGCACACAGCGTTGGTGAACGGTGTTTTTTCTGCAATATTTTTGCTGTCTTTTCTTGGATTTTCTGTTTGCACTTAGTCACATATTCACTTTAAGATGTTTTTTGTTCATGTTTTTGTTTTTTGTTTGTTGCGGTTGCACCCGATTCAAGAGCTGAATGGCTCACAGGGCTATAACTAATAAATTAACTTGAACTTGAAATGAACTTGATGATGTTGACGATGTTGATGCTAATTGCAGATGCGCCAGTTGTTCGAGGTTTGTTGCGCCTAGTTTTAACGAGCCACGCAACTCGAGTTGAACTCGAGTTGCCACCTCGGTAGCGAAGGGGTCCCATATTCCATTTTTTTTATCGACCGCAACTATTTGGGCCGCGGTCCAAATGAATGATCTGACCTGGTTTGATTCCCCCCCCCCCCCCCGCACGTCGGGACTTGCGCCAAGCCAACATTTGTTAACAAAATGTGACCGTCACAGGTGCTGCAGGTGGCATGAACGTCGCATTTTACGTCTGGGTGTAAAATGCAACGTTTAATGTTGTCAGCTGGATTTATTTCCGGGCAACGCGCCCGTTGGCCCGTCTCAAAGAGTCAAACGAACCACCTGCACGAGCGTGGCAACGCCACGGGAATGTGTTACCAACTCGATTTGCATCTTTGCCCTTTGATTGATGGGAGACATTGAACCAAATCAGACCAACTCGAGTGGTCTCAGGTTAACTGTTGCACGAAAACTATGTAGTGATGCGCCCATAAAGACAAACACTGTGAGTGAGCACCTCACGAAGGCCGGCACTGTGCACGAGGGGGTGCCGTGCCATCATCACGCCCGACCGCCTTTGTCTCCCCAGTGGCGATGTTTACACTAGGGACTAATTGAGACTGATTGGATCTAAAGGAGGCCCAGGACCGGTTCAGATAATCGTTACGGGTCGCCGGGTTCGTCCCCCAGCGCGCTAACCGCTGCACTACTGCTCCCCCCACACACACAGCGAGACACCCAAGCAGACCTGCCGTGCGGGGAGGTGATGTGCGGTGAGGTGTGCGGCAGTGCGGTGTGGTGACGTGAGGTGTGTTTGTTTGTGTTCTTGTGTTCGCAGCAAACTGACTACATGACGCTGAAGACAGCGTACACTGTGGGCTACAGCTCATCCCTCACTTCTCTGGCCCTCGCCATGCTCATCCTCTGTCTCTTTCGGTAAGTGTCCATGAAAGTTGGGCAGCCCGCATCAGCATCATCAGCATCAGCAGCATCATCGGCATCATCATCATCAGCAGCATCAGCGTCATCAGCATCACCAGCATCATCGGCAGCTCGCTCCGGCCACAATACACTGATAATAACTCACGCAAAAAAACTTTCGGTAGCCAATTCCAGTTTCCCGTCAACTCGAGTCTTGGGAGAAATGAAGCCAACTTAGGCAACAACCTCGAGTCGACTCAAGTTGGCTGTCGATTTGTTGATTAAATGTGAGCGGAGGAGGGGTGCAAGGGCGGTTAGGGTCAGGTATCTTTGCACACGGTGCTTGCGACAGGTCAGATGCACACCGAGGCCACGTGAGGTGTCGAAGGCGCACGCTGATAGGTCACGGGACAGACCCAGGCGCCGTGGATTGACTGACTGAGATGACTGGCAGATGCATGGGCACAATGACAAAGATCCCCCGTATAGCCTGTTGGGGCAAGTGCTGTTAGCGAGCAGCACCTATGGAGGCCGGCACGGCACACGAGGGGGTGGGTGACCAGCACCACACCCGGCCGCCTTTGTCTCCCGAGTGGCGATGTTTACACACCGCACCAAGTACTCACAATCAAATACGAACGAGAGAGTTTGACAGTGCGTGTGCCTACTTGTGTGTGCATGTGCGTGTTTGTGCGCGCGTTCAGCAAGCTGCGCTGCACGCGCAACTACATCCACATGCACCTGTTCGCCTCGTTCATGCTGCGCGCCATCTTCGTGTTCATCAAGGACAGGGTCCTCTTCACGGGCGAAGCCATCGACAACTGCGCCCCTGCTCCGGTGAGCAGACGCGTTCTCCTCTCGCCACTCTACCCTCTACCCACTCTACCCTCTCCCCGCTTTCACGGCCCTCCGTGATTTCTGCGCTTTGAAACCGTCGACCCGAGTTGGATTCCCAACATCCGTGGAGAGTGATGTATGAATTTTCTCGGGTCTGCCAGAAGTCTACGGAGCCTTCAATGCGTAGCACGTGGTGTGGTGCGTAAACATCGGAAATAGGGAGACAAAGGCGGCCGGGCGGGCGTAGTGCTGCCCCCCCCCCCCCCCTCCTCGTGCGCCGTGCCCGGCTACTCGCAAACACCGCTTGCCCAAAAGTCTGCTCAGGACATACGGGACTTGGGGGGGGGGGGGGGGGTCTTTGTCTTGGAGACTCTGTGTGTAGGGAGCGGCGGTGCTCGTGAAAAGCGCTAGGACCGTGCGGGCCGCGCGGGAAGGGATCTGTGTCAGGCGCGGATGCGTGGAGAGCGATGTCGCCTTCTCTCGGGGGGGGGGGGGGGGGGGTGATTGTGTTTTGTTGAAAGCTTCCACGTGGTCGTCATGCTTTCATTAAAACGCAGCCACTGCTGCAGCCGTCTCGTTTCCCCGGGCCGAGTTGAATTCTCCCCCCAGGGCGCCCGCCTCTGCACGGGCGCTCGTTAAAGCGCATTCGTACCACACAAACGCCGCTATTTATTCCGTGCCGCCACGGAAGACGCGATCCATTAATCCCGTGTGCAGGCAATTGCGTCGTAAATTCACTTCCATGCACTTCGGCGTGCGTGCGTGCACGTGCGTGTGTTTGTGTGTTTAATTTTCGTTTGGGTACGCGTCAGTCCTGTTTAATGTCCCGCGGGGTTTATCGTTGAATCTCAATGTGATAATTAATCCAGGGGAAAGCGCAGATTAAGACATATGTTCCAGGGCGGTCCTGCATCGGGATGTTTGGTCCGTTTTTTTATATTAATAAAGAATGAGCCGTTTGCTTAGCGTGTGACGGAAACGGAGAAAACCGAAACACGCGAGGAAATGACACTCACAAGATCCGCACAGATGTGTTCACGAACCCCCCAATCTGCTGTACTGCCACCTATTGACCAGCTCCTTCCAATCCCAGAGAAAATGCAGTTGGCGATCCTCCGCCTAATCACACTCGGCGCACTATTTATCACGTGACACACACGCACACACACGCACATCACACTCGACGTCACGTGGGACCTTATTTACCAATCATAGGGCGCGTGCGGCGTGTAACGACTTAATTTGTGTTCGGACACGATTGGTAAAGGTGGAACATCTGGGAAATTCCACTACGAAGGTCTGCTCAGGGTGTTAGTGGGTTGCGCTCCACTGTTCCGTTGAGCGAATGACGTTCCTGCAAGAGCTCCCGGCAAGAGGAGAAAAACGTCGGGCCTCGCGCCGAATGACACGCGGTGTCAGGTCGGCCCACGCCTCGTCTTAGCCTCACAGCTGTCGGTTAAAAACAAACCCAAAAGAATACAATATTTAGATTTGACCAGGTAAGGCCCACTGAGCTGTATAGCTCTTGATGACGGAGACCGGCTGTGACGGTCCCACCTGATAACGGAGACTTGTGTTGCCTCCGAAACGTCGTGATTTTAATTTTTATTTTATTTTACTTTTATTAATTTCAATGTTTTACCTACGTGACTTTACCGAAAAAACCTAAGAATATGAATCCTTGCAGTCACGAAAGCTTCAAATCTAGAACTGTATAGCTCTTTTTCAGCAGCTGACCTGGCCACAGATTACACACAGCTCAACGAAGTGGGCTCAGTCGTGAACAATCCACGCGACCACGCGGAGAGAGACATGCACACTTCAAATGTTACTCGCGTCAGGGTCGGGATGGAATCCCACGTCCTCCTGAATATCAGACGAGGTAGTCAACGTCTCGCCACCGCGGCGGCGAGCCGTGGCTGTCACGTCATCTGGGAAGCCGTCCAGCCGAGAACGCATGTTGGGAAATGATCGGTTCAAGGGGTAATGAAGTTCGTTGCGAACGGAGGTTATGCTGTGTCAATATTGTATTGACATTCATAGTAAATGGTGCTGGCTGGCCCACGCGTGTGGCAATAGACTTTGTGTACAAGCACGTGCGTCCGTGTGTGTGTGTAGGTGTGATTAAGGTGCTCGCTAACAGAATTTGCCCCAACAATGTGTTATGGCTATAATGGGGGAGGGGGGGGGTGGTTTGTCTTCGTATGTTGGTGTTGCCCTGATTGGATGTGTGTATGACTGCCTTGGCGCGGTGTATAAACACCAGCACTGGGGAGACAAATGCGGTCGAGCGAACAGCACTCACCCCACCAGTCTGTCAAGGCTATACGGAGGATATTTGTCTTTGGATTTTTGGCGCCCCGAGTCCAGTTCCCGCTTGGACTGGCCTGCCTACATTCCATCCAGGGTCTAATCCAGGGGTCGGCAACCAAAATAACAAGAAGAGCCATTTCTTTCCAATTCGGTACAAAATTCAGTATTTCAAGAGCCGCAATGCATCTGAGTACATACTGTACATACGTACATATCGTCAAGAAGCAGCCCGTAAAGAGCCGAATGCGGCCCCGGAGCCGTAGGTTGCCGACCCCTGATCTAATCAGACTGGATTGTGCGAGGCGCTCACAGACGCTTGATGTATCTGGACACATTTCCTCCAGTGAGCTTCTTCGACAGGCGAGATTGCGTTGGCTGCGTCATGAAGCACGCATGCATGCCCAGGACGCTTCCAATTTGCTAAGCACTGTATGATCTGGAACATAGATGGACCGATTGATTACGGGAGGACCTCGGAATGAGTGCAGTTGCCTATGACTAGCACCAGCAATGCCAAGATCAGGCTCTGTGGAGGAGGGTGATGAAGGACATTCACTTGGCATTTGGAGGCAGCCACCGTCCAGCAACAATGGAAGGTGGAGGAGCGACGCTCACAACAACGAGCAGAGCGCCGGGCAGCTAAAATAAAGCAAGTTGGCACGGTACGTGGCACAGGTGATGCATCTGCCAGTCATCTCAGTCAGTCAACCCATGGCACCAGCTGAGTCTGTCCCGTGGCCTCGTGTCAGCGAGCCTTAGACACTTCACGTGGCCTCAAAGTGCACCTGGCCTGGCACAGGCGCCTTGATAGACGTCCCCACCACTTAGTGACGAATGGTGGCTATTGTTGTTGTTGTTGTGTGTCTTCCCTGACTGGGCATTGAACCCGGACCACGATGATTATAAGTGTTCTGAATTATAACCAAGTGCACCTAGCCTGGCACATACGCTGTGGTGATATCAAGGTAACTTAGTGACAAATGGTGGCTATTGTTGTTTCTGTGGGGAGCGGTAGTGCAGCTGCAGCACCCTAAGCAACATGCCAGGCCACCCAAATTCGATTCCCGCTCACGGCCAAAAGCAGCGACGATTACCTGAATCGGTCCTGGACCTCCCCTGGTTCTACTCAACCTCGAATGAGCACCACGTTGACGGTGTGTAGACATCGCCACTGGGGAGACAAAGACGGCCGGGCGTGGTGCTGCCCGCCCGCCCGCTCGGTGCTCGCTCACAGCACTTGCCCCGCCTGTCTGTAAAGGCTATACGGGTGAATATTTATCTTTGTATGTTGGTGTGGCCCTGATCGCACCTGGCTATGACTGCCTTGGCGCGTTAGGTAAACACCAGCACTGGGGAGACAAAGGCGGCCGGGCGCCGTGCCGGCCTTCATAGGTGCTCGCTCACAGCACTTGCCCCAACAGTCTGTAAAGGCTACACGGGGGTTATTTGTCTTTATTTTTACGTATGTACCGAGCCTGGCGCGTAGCTTAGATTGGATATTTCGAGACAATAGCTGACGTTTGTACTTTGTTAGAACCAGAGCTGGAGAGAGAATGAGAGCGGCTGGTAAATATGGAGGTGGCGTGACTCGATATTTCACTCACAAAAGAGGGTGGAAGAGTACTAAGGGGGGGGGTGGTGGGGGAAACACGGCCTTTGGTCCTTTAAATTAATTGCGTGTTTAATTGCTACATTTCAGCACCGCGCACACACGCGCACGCAAGGAACGAGAACGCGTCCTGCTGCCCATGGTATTCATGGGCCCACTTGTGGTTGAGTGAGGTCCGTGCGTGTGTGTTCCTGGCGACGTGAGTTCGATTCCCGCTCACGGCGATTATATTTGCAACCGTGTTGGGACTCCCCCTAGTTCAACCCACCCGTAAATGAGTACCTTGGGCGTGTGTGTGCGCTGCGTAAATATCAGCGATGGGCAAACAGAGGCGGTTGGGCGAGCGTTAGCCAATCCACGGGTGCTCGTGTATCATGCCAGCCTTCATAGGTGTTTGTCAATAGCACTTGCATGAAACTATCTGATAAAAGGCTATAGATGAGGATCATTGTCTTGGTTGTGTATCTGAGCGTAGCCACCACGAATGAGAGCCTGGTGTGGTGTGAGGGTCGGTTCTGGCACTGACAACGCTACCAACGTCACGTGCACGAGTTGTTAGCAATAGCGTTGTCGCAACTTAATTTTCTTTCGTTTATTCCATTCATTACACGGGTGATTCCGTTTAGCCACGTGTCAGGCTGATTTACACGGGAGATCCGTGGTGCCGTGGTGCACAGCAGAAACAACATCAACAAACGATTTAAAAAAAAAACCCATCAACATTGCACAGGAGGAGTACAGCAGCAGGATCCTTAAGGGATATCGCACAACTCACAAACGAGGTGTTTAATGGTTATAAGCGAAACACGCGCGAACGGAAAACGTGAAATGAGCGTCAAAGGCGCCAAAAAATAAAAAGTTAGGTATATGCGAAAGTCAGCTCCGTGTTTTGGTCTAAATGGGGACGCTGAGAGTTGTGCTCCTACGGAGAAGAGTCAAGCGCCGTGGTTGCCAGATGTTAACTACCTCGCCTGGTATGCAGGAGGTCGGGGGTTCGATCCCGACCCTGACGCCTGCTGCTGCTGTATTTGGAGTTTGTGCGTCTCTCTCTCTCATCATCATCACGGTGGCTAGGAGATGTTAACTACCTCGCCTGGTATACAGGAGGTCGTGGGTTCGATCCCGATCCCGACCCTGACGCCTGCTGTTTTGTTTGCATGTTTCTCTCCCCGTGGTCGTGTTGATTGTCTTGTGGTTGTTGTTGTTGTTGTTTGACTTGCATCCCACTGGGATTTTTGCACACAGCGTTGGTGTACGGTGCTTTTTCTGCAATATTTTGCTGTCCTTTCTTGGATTTTCTGTTTGCACTTAGTCACATAGTCACTTTAAGATGTTTTATTGTTCATGTTTTTTTTTTGTTGCGGTTGCACCCGATTCAAGAGCCGAATGGCTCACAGGGCTATACCTAATAAATGAACTTGAACTTGATCATGCACCGATTCCTCCGGTTTTCCCCTCCACATGCTATAAATGTCCAAGTGGTGATGAAGCCACTTGGCTGAGTTATCATTTGTGACCAGGTCGCTTCTGATAAAGAGCTATATATCTCAATGGGCCCTTACCCGGTATAATAAAAAATAAAAGTAGTGCTGTTTGTGGACGTGGAGAACCTCCGAGCGTGGGTGGACGCGAGGAGTGGCGATGGCGAAACCATGGATCCTGCGTTCCGTGTCTCGCTGTCTGCTCGCCGCAGGCCACGTGCAAGGTCGTCATGGTGTTCTTCCAGTACTGCATCATGGCCAACTTCAGCTGGCTGCTGGTGGAGGGCCTCTACCTCCACACGCTCCTTCTCGTCTCCTTCTTCTCCGAGAAGAAGTACTTCTACTCGTACATCATCATCGGCTGGGGTGAGCGAGCCAGTGTGACTACTGTAAACTATAAACATTTTTTATTGTCAGCTCGTGTATATATATGTCTTTTTTAAAATCTGTAAATATCAAGAGAAGAAGAATATTTCACAATATCTGATGAAGGGGGAACTTAATTGGCATGCAATGTCTTGGTGCATTTGTACGCAACTTACAACATCCAGGACTGCTAATGTCCGGGAAGACTTTCAGACTCCCCAGGGACAGGTGGTAACCTTAAGCCTGACCCAAACTCGTCAAATCTTGACAGATGCCTAGGGTTCAGTCTGGGCATTGCTTCTCCAAAAGTGAGGGCGATCCATGGGAAAGCTAGGGCACGTGGCAACCCCAGTAACACCAATAACCTATATATATTTTTTATTTTACCAGTTAAGACCCACTGACCAAGCTTTCAAGCCCTTTCCCCAAAGCAATCGGGACACGAATGATAGCTAAATGCTCTAAACATGGGTAGACTGTTCGCGAAGAGCATGGATATTACACTTTGATATTTGTTTTGTTTTGCTCGCTATTCGTAATGGGAGTTCGGTCATCATCATTATCATCATCATCGGCCGTGACCAATTCACAGCTGGATGATGAAGGGCTCATCGAAGCCGTCGTCTTCTCGCACGACCCCTCGTGATCTCACGATCCGCCCAGCAAAGTGCACGCGAGCCGATGTCATCGCTCCATCTCCGAGGTCGCCATCCCCCCCCCCCCCCCAGGCACCATTCCCATCCGCAAATGTGTTTAGTACGAGTACCGCCCCATCCCTCTCCAGCCAAATCTAACCCACCCCCCCGTCCCCATGCCCCCCTTCCTCCGTGCCATCGTGTCGCCTCACGTCACACCTAGCCAGTATATTCGCGAGAATATTTTCAGAGTCTTTTAAATCGTTGCAACGTGTTTTCTTTGTAATCGTAGCTTTTCCCCCTCGCTCGTATTACAATTATGCTGTCACGAGATGAACGCATTCCAGTTGGACATTCTCACAGCCAGCAGCGTACCATCACACAAGTTTAAACATCTAAATGAATAACGCCTCCCTCCCAAATGTGTCTAGCCACGTCAAGAAAAGCGGCTTATTTTACACATCACATTGGCCGCACGGCCTCCTGGGAGTGCGTCTTCGCAGCATTGGTTCAAGGCAAGAAAACTCTAGAGATTTAGCAGCAGCGTTGGTTCAAGGCAAGCAAAACTCTAGAGATTTAGCAGCAGCGTTGGTTCAAGGCAAGCAACACTCTAGAGAGTAGCAGCAGCAGCGTTGGTTCAATGCAAGCAAATTCTAGAGAGTTAGCAAAGTAGAGTTTGCTTGTATTGAATCGATACTACTTTTACGATGCATTCTCAGGAGGCCATGTGCAGCCATTGGGTTGTGTATATACGTATTTTTTTTATAAAAAACGCTAGATTTTTTATGCGGGGAGACAGATATGGAAAGGGACATTATGCTCTGAACTGTAATGGGCTCATCAACCACACGAGATGTGTGCCTCTCCTTTAACAGCTTCTCATCTGCTCTTGACAGCGCGTGTGCCATTAGCCTTCCTCCCCGAGCGCCGTGAGGGGTCTCTCCCACGGGGAGTGGTGGGAGGTAAACAAGCGAAGCGGTAATTACGAATAAATAGCCATCTCAATATCGGTGTTGCTGCTGCCGTGTGCGTGGGCGGCAGGGACGCCAGCCGTGTTCGTGGTGGTGTGGACCGTCTGCCGCATCGTCTACGAGGACACTGGGTAGGCAGCCTCACACGTCCCCACCTGCAAAGACAAACGATGTTCCCCCCCCCACCACCCCTCCTCGTATCACCTTGAACAGACTGTTGCAAGGTACGACTGTGGAACCCCTCCCCTCCTTTCTCCCTACTCACTTTTACTGAGGTAGCTCCTCCCGATGGGTTTTTAACCCGTGTACAATGATGTGTTAGGCTATAACCACATTTGTTACATTTCGATTTAAAGCTTTCGTGACTGCAGGGATTCATCTTCTTGGTTCTTTCGGTAAAGTCACGTAGAATGGAAATAATAAAATAATAAAAATTTAACATAATAAATTATTTTATTATGTTTTATAAATAATAAAAATAAAGCATAATACATTATTTTATTATGTTTTATTTTTATTATTTTATTATTTCCATTCTACATAACTTTACCGAAAGAACCAAGAAGACACATTTGTTATTTTAGATGCACGGTGTATTGGGTTTAGGGGAAGGCAGTCTCACAGTGACAGCATTAATACAAAACGTGTAAATGTACAATACTGACAATCAGGTTATCGTGGGGCTTGGTTTCATGCCGGCCCCATCGGTCGAAGATCTGCTCAAAGGGAGTGGGATCGCGGAAACTTGCTGCTGCTCTATTGATACGATGGCCAAGATGATTAATCGGGATGGGTCCATGATAGACTGCAGGTTATTTTTGTTATGAATACTTTTTTTTACGTAACAATTTTTTGGCTTGCTAATCTGTTGATTCTGGGCCATCTTGTGGCCGACTGGGCCCCTATGCGTCGCATAACGCTGCAGAATAACCCCCCCCCCCCCGCCCTCCCCCCATAGTTGCGTTCGTGCTGAGCGAGCGATGTTATAAATGAGTAGCGTCTGTGAGGACCGGCCAACACCACAGTCGGCCCACCGCCTTTGTCTCGCCTGCGTTGGCTTTTACTCATACAGCACAAGCTACTCAGTGAAGGCTGTGCCGACCTAGGAGAGGCGCATATCCGGTTCAGATATTCGCCGCTGATATTGGTCGTCAGCGGATCACGAACTCGGGTTGCCGCGTTCGCAGCACTGCGCGCTAACCGCTGCACTGCCGCTCCCCACACACACACACGTGCATCCACACAAACGCACACACACGCACATCAGTTAGATTGATGAAAAATATTTCTAATCATCCCGCTCAAGACCAGGACAAATATTTAGACGTCCCCTAATTCTCTTTTTTTTTCGAATAAGTGAGAAGGAGAATATTTATTTGTGCGAACAAGCGAAGCCACTTTACATGCTTCTTGTTGGAAATCCTGGACAGAGCGGTGGTGCAGCGGTTAGCACACTACTCTAGGACCTGATGGGACTGAGTTTAATACCTGCTCACGGCTAACATCATTGGCGAGTGATCCGGCTCCCGCACCCACTCGTCTTTACCGATCTGCAATGGCCAGCGTGGTGAAGTATGGTTAAAAATCCTCCACGAACAACAGGTCAAAGGAAGGCTTTCATCCAGCAGTGGAATGAAAAAGGGCCATAGTTGATTTATTCTTGATGCACGGCTATGTCACCAGACTCACGGAGTCTCAAGACTAATTTTCAGGAGGGTCCTGGATTTGGATGTTTGGCCAATGCCATTATCGAGCTTCGTGTGAGAGCAAACCACAGCACCCAGAGAAACCCCCACTGGTACAACGGGGACAACACAACTCAACGTCTCCACGCAGATCGATTCAAGAATACATTCATGTACAGCCACTTCATGTAATGCGCCGTCTCAGTAGAACCCGACAACACCCGGTGTGTTCCCAGGCGGTCTCCAATCAAAGCGCTCATAATCAAGCTCGACCCAGCACGAGCTTCTGAGACGTGGGGCCAAAATCCAGTTCGGCCCCTCGCTGTCCGCTCTGGCTACTTGACGGTCCTCTGTCCAGGTCGACTGCAGTCGACGCAGAAAATATTCGGCGACAAACCTAAGCCCCGCGTATGAACTGCACGTGCAGTCCTCGGCCTCGCATTGCCAGGGCACGGAAGGCCTGCACATTTTAGACGTATGTTGGGCCAATTCCGGTTTAAACGGCATTCAAGACTCTCTTGGTCGTAGGTCCGGGCTGGCGTGAGACACGTGACCGATGGTGAAGACGCGGAAGCAGCAGCAGCGGCGGCTTTTGGGTTTGCCATCGAACAAAGACGGTCACTGCGTCGCGCGTTTTCGGATGCGCTTCTGCGGGCCGTCTGGAACGCTCTTGCTGCCGATAATAGGAAGCCACCGGAGCTACGCACTTTTAAATCTGGATTGAAAACTCATTTCGTTTGGAACTGCGTTTTGCGTTTAGTTTGTTGTCCTTCCCCCACAACTCCGATTAGCACGGTTGTCTACGTACGGTGGCAGAAGATGTTCAACATTATACGTACGTGCAAAGGAGCCGCTGCAGGGAGCATGCGTTTGGGGTGGATTCGGAAGGCTCTCGTATTCAGGCGGGGACAACAAGAAGAAGCACAAGCCAGAATGATAACGGACTTAAAAGCAAGTATCCATCTGCGGTATGAAAGAAATAAATGCGTAAATTACAAGAGCCCTCCTTCGATGGCCGACAACTGTTCTTGCCGGCGAGAGGCTTTTTGTTCCTTCGCTCAGGTGCAGCTCGTTAATTGTGGCAGAGTGGCCGCAGCTCCTCTCGTGTGCCTCTCTGTCTCGTTCCTCTGGAGCACTCTTGTTCTCAGAGAGCCACTCTTCCATTCACCCAGTTCCGCACGCACGCGCGCGCACGCGCAAAAAGACAAAGATCCCCCGTATGGATTTAACAGAATGTTGGGGCAAATGCTGTGAGCGAGGCTGGCACGTCACACGAGGGGATGGGTGGTCAGCACCACGCCCTACCGCCTTTGTTTCCCAAATGGCGATGTTTACAGACCGCACCAGGTACTCAATTAAGGCTGAGTTGACCTGGGGGAGGAGGGAGGTCAGAACCGGTTCAGATATTCATCATTGGTGTTGGCCGTGAGCGGGAATCGAATTCGGGTCGCTGAATTCGCAGTTCGGCGCGCTAACCACTTCGGCGTACACACACACACACGCGTGCGCACACTCAGGTACAAGACCGAATCACCGTGTACGTTGTTGCATTATTTTGGCACCAGTTTGAGAATAATTCACCGGGCGGGCAGCTCAAAAACAATCAGCGCGCGTTCGTAAACAAAAGAGTCCCCGGGAAGAGCTGGCAAGGCGGATGGTGCTGTGGAGAGAGCGGCCACCTCGACTCCCGACCGCCACGGCCAGCAACAAACAGCACTATTGAGGGCGTAATGTGTAACAGTTTGAATGGAGCGAGGTAGTAAAAAGAACGTGGAATGAGAGACAACGCGGGAGGCAATTCCAACGCGTAGGGGGTTGCGAGGAGAGTGACATGAAGCTCGTTGACCTGCAGCGATGCGTCGAGGAGGTTGAGAGATGAAAAAGCCCTCCACTTGCCTGAGAGAGAACCTGGCTTGCCTGACACCAACATCAGCGTAACCTTCTCAGCATGGCAGTGATCACCGCAGCGGGCATTAGTGGCCGTTGGTTGGTGCTGGGGTGGGGGGGCAAGGCGGCTGAGGGGGGGAGGGAGTGTAAGCAGCGCGTTATTGTGTCGGTGAGCGGCACGCCGTGCGGACAGCACTAAATGTCAGCAGCGTCAGTGGCTTTCTGCCTCCCACGCGAATCTCACCCGAGCCGGGGTGACGCCGCCCGCCTGCCTGCCCGCCCGCTCGCTCGCTGCTCAGCGCGCTCCCTGTCGCTGGTGTCCAAGCGGTAGTGCCAATTAACGCGAGCGCACTGGCAGTGACGCTCTCGGATGGGAGATTGGGATTGGGGGCCGGGGGGGGGGGGGGTAATCAAGGTGACCTCTACGCGACGGCGGTAAATATCGCCACGCGGTGTCGATTGGTGACATTTATTTGGATAATAAGTTGGGGGTCGACGGTCGTAGCGGTAGGCCACGGACGGCTGTGTGGGAGGGCACAAATGTGGCTCTTCGTGGTTGGGCGCGAGGAGCCTGCAGGTGGAGCGGTGGCACAGTGGTTCACGTACGGGTGGTTTTAAACCAGGCGGGCTCAAGTTCGATTCCCGATTCAGGGCGAACGCTGTTGGCGAGCGAAAGCAGAACCGGCTCCTACCCTCCTGTCTGATTTCCCCCTGCCAGGATTGAACGAGCGTGGTTGAAGTATAGTAACAAAAAAAGACAACACGATTGGAACCTCATTTGCCAGTAAAAAATTATGATAATTGGTTTTTTACCCTTCTATCTGGCAACAAAACTGACACCCTTTTTTACAACTTCAAGGACAGTGCATATATTGTCAGAGTTATGTTTTTTGTTTGTATTATAGCTGCAGGTATTGTGGTCTATGCAAACATGACTCCTTGTAAAAAACAGGTGTCAGTTTTGTTGCCAGATAGAAGGGTAAAAAAACAATTATCAAAAAAAGACAACTTCATGACCGACGCAGCGCAGGGAGGCATTGATCTCTTTAGTTGGATTTGCTGGAATGTACTGCATTCGTTTATAAGGAGAGGCAACTTTCTGCGGGTAACAATGACTGAGGCTGTATGGACACCAAGTGTTCGTTGGCGGGATGATTAAATGCGGACCGAGATCAAGGCTGTGAAATAGAGAGGCGAGAGTTTTGTTTGATATGATTTAGCGAAAGCTTTAACACGTGACTGGCATACAGCTAGAGTGCCAGATACGCAATGCAAACACATTCCTGCGGAGGGAGCTGGTAGGAACGTTGGGTTGCTCGGTCAATGGCCAGGGTCAACGGCGGCGTGGTGTATTCCGCAAATATGGCCGACTGTGAGGGCGGGCACAGGCCGGCGTGAGTAGGTGAAACGTTGAGTTTTATAAGGGCACCACGGGGTGACCAGCCCCTCCCCACCCAGCCCCACCCCTCCCACCCCCCACCCAGCCCCACCCTCCCCACCCAGCCCCTCCCCACCCTGCCCCACCCCACCCAGCCTCACCCCTCCCACCCCCCACCCAGCCCCACCCTCCCCACCCAGCCCCTCCCCACCCTCCCCACCCTGCCCCACCCCACCCAGCCTCACCCCTCCCACCCCCCATCCAGCCCCACCCTCCCCACCCAGCCCCTCCCCACCCTCCCCACCCAGCCCCTCCCGACCCTCCCCTCTCCTCCCAGCCCCACCCCTCCCATTTTTGAATGCACGACGGACGGGCGGACGGACACAATAATCCCCTGTGGGCTGGTGGAACCAGGTGGTTCCGACGAGTACGAAACTTTGCCCCATTGTCTCAATTGCCGCACCGGGAGCTCGAACCCCAGCGAGGACGAGACTGCAAGTACGGAGTTGCGAACCGCGACTCCGTGGCGGCAACACTGCTGAGCAATAATAACAACAACAACAATGCAACACAGAGCTCGCAAACGGGTTTTGATTCCTTACCCGTACCCGTATCCGGCCGCACCAGGGTCGCAAACGGGTGTCGGGTACCTGATTGCGACCTCTGGGATGAAGCCACGTTGCAGGCGCGGGTGGGTTGATTCTAGGAACTTGAATTGTGAGAAGAGACAAGACGTTGGGAAATGAGTGACAAACAGTTACTCACCAGTGACTCACGGCCTACCCGGCTACCCGTACCCGGCCGCACCAGGGTCGCAAACGGGTACCCGTACCCGGCCGGGTACGGGTAGCCGGGTATCGGGTAGGGTACGGGTATCGGGTACCCGGTTGCGACCTCTGATGCAACATCGTCCTCTGTTTATCCCGGCGAAGGTCCCTGGCTCCTGGCACGTTGGGCCAGTGCCATTAATGCAGGGCCTGTGTTAACGATCGGTTGGTTAAAAATCAATGGAAATATTTACGTGCGAGAAAATTAATTATAAGCACCGACAATGAAAATGAACGATGGCATTCGGAAAAATGGCAACGCAAAACAAAATAGCAACAGGTAGAATTCACGGGATCGGAATCTTTATTCAGACTGGGGGAGGAATCCGATGTCCCTGTATTGGGGCAGGTCAGCAAGTTATAACAGCAAACAATACCCAAAAAAACCAACATGTTTATCAAGCTTGGGCAAGGCAGAAAAAAACAATAATAAAGCGGTCTCAGACCACAGCAAGATAACACCACAGATAGCACCACAGCAGAAGTCCCTTAATAAAACGGCAGATTAACAATGAGCTATCGATCCACCCGAGGGCGATACGGAACAGCCAACAATAGAAGGCCGATTGGCTAATTTTGAATGGAACGGGCAATATATGTATGACTGTGGCGAGATATTATCTGCCTCGCCTGGTATACAGGAAGGCGTCGTTTCGATTCCGACCCTGACGCCTGCTGTATATTTGGAGTTTGCATGTTTTCTCCGTGGTCGCTGTAGATTTTTCTCCGGGTCCTACGGTTTTTTTCCTTCACATTGAGAATCAACGTGCGTTTAATATATTTGGCTGCTATAAATTCCCACATCATAGGCGACTTCGTTGAGCTATCATTTGTGGCCAGGTCGCCTCTGAAAAAGAGCTATATAGCTCAGTGGGCTTTACCTGGTAAAATAAAATAAATTAAAAATAGTTTAGATTAGTTGTATAGGTAATTCTAAAATGACTAAAGCAGGACTGTGTAGACATCATTGAGTAAGAAACCTTCTTCGGAAGGCTCACGAAACCCTTGGTCTTGTGCAGATCCGATGCTATTCCGTGTGATTGATTTCAAATTGGCCCCGAGGGGGTTTTTCTGTAATATTTCAAGTTGGTTAACCCCATGCATTCGCATTCATTTTAGTTCCTCAAAAGGTTTATGGCCAATTTGTCAATGTTATTGTCATGTAACCTTTACGACCGTCTTTATGGTTCTGGTGATACCTCATTTGTCAATGTTTGCCGTTTTGCGGTGTGTTGAGGCTTGTACAGAGACACCGTATACGCAACAAAGACCCCCCCCCCCCCTCCTTCTCCCTCACCGTGTAGCCATGCAGACTTGGGCCAAACGTTGTCAGTGAACACCTAGTAAGGCCCGACCGGTGCTTTGAGGGAGATGGTTTGGCTTTAATTGTTCCAAGTTGATTTGACGTTGCCATAGATGCGACACAGAAATACTTTGGCCGGTGGGTCGCTCCATCTGACGCCAAAGACCCTCACCGTTGGTTGGAATCCAGCCGGCACCGCGTGGAGGTGGTGATGGGATTTTGCCGGTCACGAGTTAATGCGGCGTGAATGAAATGGAGGCAAGTCACCGGAATCCTCTGTGATCGGAAAATGCCGGATAGGCTGAAGGGAAAAATATACAAGACCATCGTCCGACCGGTGGCACTCTATGGATCCGAGTGCTGGCCAGCCACAACTGTACACGAACAAGCTCTCCACACCATGGAGATGAGGATGCTCAGATGGAGCCTCGGGCTCACTCGATGGGATCGTGTCAGGAACGAAGACGTTCGGAAGCGACTTGGTGTGGCCCCCATTGCGGACAAGATGCTTGAGGCAAGGCTTCGGTGGTACGGCCATGTGATGCGAAGTGAAGAGTCATCAGTGGCCAAGACTGCCGTGCGTATTGAGCCAGAGGGCCGCCGTCCACGCGGACGTCCGAAGAAGCGATGGATGGACCGAATAAAGGAAGACATGAAGACGGTCAACGCATCCCCTGAAGATGCCCTGGACCGAGCCAAATGGAGAAGACAATGCCGAAAAGCGGACCCTGCGCCACAGCGGGAACAACGCTAGGTAGAAGAAGAAGGTTTGGCTTTAATTGGTTCTCAAGTGCTGATGTTCACAAATCGCAATTAGGAAATAACATTTTAGGCTGAGTCGACTTGGGAGGTGGCCAAGGGCAGATTCTGATACCACGCTGCTACTGACACGATCCTTTTTTTGGCTACTGTTGAATTTTGTTTCAACAGAGGACAGTACCTGACCATTGCCTGACCCAACATGTTTGCTAGAAATAAATGCATCACTATTGAACATCAATATTTTAACCAATTGTCCATTTTGTGGGGTATCCTAACCGGCAAGCGGATATAAATACAATTAAAGGACGCTCTGCACGCGTTACGTAATGTGTTCGCGCTCGCCGGTTACTCTTGGTAACGGCATTGTTGACGACCAGTGAGTTTGGATAGGTCTTTTCTATTGTTGTAGGTTACCATGTGGTTTACATTTTATCGTAGTTTTCTTTTTATAGCGCCAAGTTCATACCTAATTATTCACCAATGACTTTCATCTACGGCATAATTTCTCACATTTATAAATCACCTCACCTAGCCCCCCCGGGACATTGCCACGTAACCCCCCAGGGGGGGGGGGTCCGCGCACCCCCCTCCCCCCCGATTGAGAACCACTGCCCTCAAGCGTGGCGGTGAGCAGCTCCATGATCACGTGACCCGTCGTCATCCTCGACGCGTCGGGTAGCCCTCTGTGGACAGCGTGATTCTGCGACCGCAGGTGCTGGGACAACAAGGGCAACCTGGTGCTGTGGTGGATCATCAAGGGGCCCATCTTGCTGTCCATCCTCGTACGTACCTCGACTCGAGCGAACACGCGCGCACACACTTTGCTATCCCGCGAGTGTGCACACACACACACAATTCATCACGTCTAGTCAAGAGGTCACGAATGCGTGACCTCTTGTGACAGCGTTCGCATAAACTGCTCTTGCTGCCGTACAACGGCGTCTCGAGTGATTTGTGTGATCCACGGATCATTGGGGTGGGTGAGTGGGTTGGGGGGGGGAGGTTTGGCAGCGCCGTTCTTTCGTGGGTCGCAATCCACTTCGACCGTGCACGTCAACACACACGCACACGCGCACAGAGTATACCCATTCTTCACCAACATCCTCTTTTCTTCTGGAGTGTTCGTTTTGTCCACCCGTGCGGAGTATGCGCTCCTTATCCTCTCTGTCTTCGCTCACTCCTGTCCTGGAACATCGTCCCCACGTCCCTTACACAACAGTGCTGATGATGTACATCCCCGGGTTCTGCACGTGCAGCCACCGCTAGCTGCCACGCCTGATTCCCATTCCCGGTGATCCTGCTGCTGCATTCGTGTTCGCCGCCTCGTTGTCCGTTGTGGTTTCCTCTCTTCACGCGGCAAGCTCTTCATCTTCATAACGCGCATCAAGTGACCATAACGCCACGTGATCGTCGCTACAGCGAGTCTCCCACACGTTCTAAGGAGAGGACTGCGTTCGATACGTTTGGCCCAATTCCATTCGTAAGCCGCTGCGCTTCGCGCGGTAGACAGCAACGGAGAGCAGCCAGAGGAATGAACACCGCCACGCGTGCCGCCACATTTAGACACGTGCGTGTAGGGGACCCACGCCCATGGGTCTCAAGCGCGCGGGTGACTAACGCGCGTGACGCGCGTGGACTGCTGTGTCGGCAGATCAACTTCATGTTCTTCATCGGCATCATCCGCATTCTGGTGAAGAAGCTTTGCTCCCCAGACGTGGGCGGCAGCAGCAGCAGCCACTACAAGTAAGCGACTCGCACAGACGAATAACCCCCCCCCCCCCCCCCCCCCCGTGTCGCCTTCGACTGACCGCTGGGGCAAGTGCCGTTGGCGAGCACCTATAAAGTTTGCCACGGCGCGCACAGAGAGCTGGTGTGGTCCTAACCGCGCACGGCTGCCTTTGTCTCCCCAGTACCAACACACAATCACAACTGGCGTTCGTTACGCAGCAACTGTGACGTCACCACAGCGCCTGTGCCAGGCTAGGTGCACACCGAGGCTGTCACGTGAGAGTGTTGAAGGCTCAGTGGCAGGAGGTCACGGGACAGACCCACGTGTTACGGGCTGACTGACTGATGACTCAGACACACGTACACACACATACAGACATAGGCACTGATACATGGCAACACGCACTCAAACATGCAAACACAACCCGCAGTTACACAACTGCATGCCAGGTAACATCACCGCCGTGTAGACTTAGCACGAGGGGGTGGGTGGCCAGCACCACGCCCGGCCGCATTTGTCTCCCTAGTGCCAATGTTTAGGGGCCGTCCATAAATGACGTCACGCACCTAGGGGGAGGGGGGGGGGGTCAGACATTTGTGACAATGTGTGACGAGGGGGGGGGGGTGTTTTAGTAATGTGACGTCACATCAAAATGCGCAACTTTAAATAAATATAGACAACACGTTCTACTTAATTAAATAGACTTTTTAATAAATGTTTTTTCCTACAACATCAAAGTGCAGCGTCACATTTAATACGCACTACAATGACAATAGTTTAAAGCGATTTGAAGCATGTTTTATTTTTGTTTGGGGGGGTGGGCAGAGCTTTGTGACGTCATATTTGAGGGGGTGGTCTGACTTTTTGTGACGAAGGGGGGGGGGTCAAAAATCGTCCAAAATCGCGTGACGTCATTTATGTATGGCCCCTTACACACCGCACCAGATACTCATTTGAGGCTGAGTCGACCTAGGGGAAACCCAGGATCGATTTAGATAATCGTCATTGGTGTTGACCATGAGCGGGTAATCGAACTCGGGTCGCCGGGTTCGTAGCGCAGTGCGCTAATCGCTGCGCCACCGCTCCCCGTTGCCCCCCAAATCACCGCCGCGTGTGCGACATGAGCGCCCTCAATGGCCACCAGTGGGAGCGGTGGCGCAGTGGTTAGCGCGCCGGGTTACGAACGCGGTTGACCAGAGTTCGATTCCCGCTCACGGCCAAGGCCAGTGACAAATATCTGAACCGGCCATCGGTCTCGCCGAGGTCAACTCAGCCTCAAATGAGTATCCGGGTGCGGTGTGTAAACATCGCTACCGGGGAGACAAAGGCGGTCGGGCGTGGTGCTGGCCACCCACGCCCTCGAGTACCGTTCCGGCCGTAATAGGTGCTCGCTAACAGCACTTGCTCCAACAGTCTGTTAAGGCTATACGGGTGATATTTGCGTGGTATTTGTGTGTATGTTCACGTACAATCACGCGCGCGTGTGTTCACGCGTATTTTACACACCTGAATGTTCACGTGCTTGTGTGTATTGTCACCTCTCCACGTGCGTGCGTGCCTGCACGTTCACTCGCGCGCAACGTGCGTGTGTTCGTACGTTCACCAATGTCCACGCGTGCGTTCACGCGTGTGCGTTCACGCGTGTGCGGCGGCCTTCGTGCCGCTACTCGGCAACGTGTTGGCTACACGGCGCGGTGGGAGGAGTGGGAGATCTTTGTGATCGTTGTCCGTGTCTGCGCAGGCGCCTAGCCAAGTCGACGCTGCTGCTCATCCCGCTGTTCGGAGTCCACTACATCGTGTTCGCCTTCTTCCCGGACGAGGCGAGCGAGCTGGCGACGCGCGTGCGCCTCTACTTCGAGCTGGCGCTCGGGTCATTCCAGGTGGGGGATGGAGGGGGGGGGGCAGGGGGGGCTCGAAGGGGGGGGGGGCTCGAAGGGGAGGGGGGGCTCGGAGCGAGCGGCGGGGGGGGGGATAGCCTTGGGTCGAGAATCGAATTCCTGTTATCGCCCGGCATGCGAACCGCTGAGCCACCGCTCCACTATAATCTGTTTAATAACAAATTAGGGCATAGATGGTGGGAGTGAGGGAGGGAGGTCGGTCAGGCGGATGGATGGAGGGAGAGATAGACTGATGGACAGACGAGCAGACAGACGGACAGCAGTATCGGCAGAGGAACGGAGAGCGCTCCTCAGAGCCCGTTAAGCTCACCGGCGCGAGGTGAGCTGAACAGGTGGGAGGGAAGGTGAGAAGTGGTGAGGGTGGGTGTGTGGGAGGGAGGGGGAGGGAGGGAGGGAGGGATGGATGGAGGCGAGCGATTTGGCTAGAGGCAAATGAGTTGATCGACATTGAGTGACATTTGCTGACCTCAATTTGGGCAGAGCGCGTGTGTCTATTCGAGGGTTTTATATATTTCTTTGGAACGGCAGAAGTGTATTGGGACATGCATTGCATTATCTTTGCCATGTGTTTTAATGGAATATAGGTATGTGGGGGCGGGAGGGGGGTGTTGGTCTATGATTGCCTGTGGTAGGGTCAGAGTTCAGAAGAGATGTGAAGTTCAAAAAGTTGTATTTTCACAAGCATGTTCAGCACAGATCGAATCATTGAAGTCGTTAAGGCAACACGAGTGTGACGATGTTAACCCCTCTTCTGCAGACCAGTCATCCCCCTTGGCTCTCTCTGCATTCTGAAGATGGGCCATTGCCCTAAACGTCGTCCTATAATAGTATCTGCATTTATGTTACATCATCATCAACAGTAACAGCAGCTATGGTTCATCCACTGTTGGATGAAGGCCTCACCTGAGCAGGCACCAGGGAGACGTCGTGCTAAATGCGCCGAGTCTGAGAAGAACTGGTGAAGTTTTAACTGTGGGTCAGGCGCTCTCACACAATGCTATTGGCCCTACCAGCCAAACAGGGGAAACTTTGGCCAGGCCATTGACCACTTATAGAGCCACTGTGAACTCTGAACATTCAACGGGAGATTATTTATCAAAAGTGGCCAAGTCGTTTCTGAAAAAGAAGCGAATAGCTCACTGGGCTTAACTTTGAAAGATACAACGTAGTTTTTTTTTTTGTATATATGTTTTAAGCGATTGATTTACCTTTATTATACGTTGCCCTCGTAATCATATTTCCGTTTTGTTCGTTGTTGTAACGTTCTGACCTGCCCCTACTGGACATCTGCGAAAAATAGCTTAATAGCTTAAACGGATTCCTCCAGTTTAAAAAAAAAATATTCTGAGATGCAATCCATCACACATCAACTGAAGCCATTTCCTGGCCAACTAATCTGAACGTAGACTTACAAGTCCTGGACAACTGGATTTGTTGTACCCGGGTGAGAACTCCCAGAGACCAGGATAGAGTCTTGTTTGCAAGAGTGACATGGGCTGTCACCAACATGACAATAGCGATTGAAGGGAAATAAAGTACAGCATCGGTTTATTGTATGGTAGTCGGGTAGAAGCAGTTCTTTAGCGTCAATATGCTAATTTCCTCTGTTGATATGTAAACTCCTTTGTCAAGGCGCTCTGCTCCTCCCGCCCAGCTTAAAATACGCTGCCAAGCTTAGCAGTGTTCATTAGGACGCTGTCTTTCCGACAGCTCTGTTCTTCACCTGAGGACGGCTACTTGTGTTGTGGCCGAAACGTCGTGAGAATTTTATAACGTTTTATTTTTATTATTTTATTATTTCCCTTCTACGTGACTTTTCCGAAAGATCCAAGAATATTAATCCCTGCAGTCACGAAAGCTTTAAATCGAAAACAGTACAGCAATGAAGCAATTAGAAGTCTGAGCCAAAGCGACTGCATTTCGGGGAACAAAACATGGAAACACTACACGAACGGGTGAATGTTAAATGGAGAAATGCTCTCGAATGAAAGTTTTAAGTGAGCAAAATGTCTTCTTGCTTCTTTCGGTAAAGTCAAGTAGAATGGACATAATAAAATAATAAAAATATAACATTATTTAAAAAAAAATGTCTTCTCGACAGACCTGTTCTCCACCCGAGGACGGCTGTTTGTGTTGTGGCCGAAACGTCGTGAGAATTTTATAACGTTTTATTTTTATTATTTTATTATCTCCCTTCTACGTGACTTTTCCGAAAGATCCAAGAATATGAATCCCTGCAGTCACGAAAGCTTTAAATCGAAAACAGTACAGCAATGAAGCAATTAGAAGTCTGAGCCAGAGCAACTGCATTTAGGGGAACAAAACATGGAAACACTACACGAGCGTGTGCATGTTAAATGGAGAAATGCCCTCGAATGAAAGTTTTAAGTGAGTAAATGTCTTCTTGGTTCTTTCGGTAAAGTCACGTAGAATGGAAATAATAAAATAATAAAAATAAAACATATTAAAATAATTCTCACGACGTTTCGGCAACAACGCAAGCAGCCGTCCTCAGGTGGAGAACAGGTCTGTCGAGAAGACAGACCTGCAGAAAAAAATGGCCGAAACGTCATGAGAATTATTTTATTGTTTTATTTTTATTATTTAATTATTTCCATTCTACGTGACTTTACCGAAAGAACCAAGAAGATGAATCCCTGCAGTCACGAAAGCTTCAAATCGAAATTTGAGCAAATGTCGTTTGCTGCCCATGCGTAGCGCAGCGAAGTTGCCCTTTGCCCCCCCCCCCCCCCCCCCCGTCTCAACGCAGCATTACGACCGAGTGACCTGCCACTGTTGTCTGTCCGCAGGGGTTTGTGGTCGCGATTCTCTACTGCTTCCTCAATGGAGAGGTGAGGTGGATCGTCCCCCCGTCCCCCCCGTTCGATTGGTCTGGGCGTCCAGGCGCGGGGGCAGGAGGACGTGGGGACAGGGGTGACGACATGCAGACACTGGGCACAACATTTGTGCTTGCGAATTTTCTTTTTGGGGGGGGAACAGGGAGAGACTGCGGAGTACACTAGCCAGTCAGGCACTGGGCCCACCCCTAAGCCCAAGGACCTATCCAATTAGACCCACAACTATCCCTCAACGAGAACCAACCAAACCTCAGGAACCCCTATCGACAGCCCTAACCCTGATCACGTGAACCAACGACGCACCGACACCAGACCTCACGAAATTCCCATCTACCGTCCCCAAAAACACCAGACCCTCCTAACTGAAGCCCCGCGGGAGTTCGGTCGAATCCGCGAAGTTCAATCGGCGCGGTTGAATCGGTGTCACCAATGCCCCCCCCAAACCCCCTCACGTTGTGGTCGTGCAGGTGCAGGGCGAACTGCGGCGCAAGTGGCGGCGTTGGCACGTGCAGCGCTTCCTGGAGCGCGGCGGGCGCCACCGCCACCGCCACCAGCACCACCAGCAGCAGCGCCACCAGCAGCAGCACTCCTCCTTCATGATGAGCAACGGCACGAGCAGCGGCGGCCTCACCACCCACATGTCCCTGCTGCACAAGTCCAGCCCCGGCGGGGAGCGGGCCTCCAGCTCGCGCGACGAGTCTACCATCATCTGAGATTAGTCCACCTTCATCTGAGATTAGTCCACCTTCATCTGAGATGAGAAGTCCACCTTCACCTGAGACGAGAAGTCCACCATCATCTGAGATTAGTCCACCTTCATCTGAGATTAGTCCACCTTCATCTGAGATGAGAAGTCCACCTTCACCTGAGACGAGAAGTCCACCATCATCTGAGATTAGTCCACCTTCATCTGAGATTAGTCCACCTTCATCTGAGATGAGAAGTCCACCTTCACCTGAGACGAGAAGTCCACCATCATCTGAGATTAGTCCACCTTCATCTGAGATTAGTCCACCTTCATCTGAGATTAGTCCACCTTCATCTGAGATGAGAAGCCCACCTTCACCTGAGACGAGAAGTCCACCATCATCTGAGATTAGTCCAGCATCATCTGAGACGAGAAGTCCATCTTCATCTGAGATTAGAAGTCCACCATCATCTGAGATTAGTCCACCATCATCTGAGACGAGAAGTCCACCTTCACCTGAGACGAGAAGTCCACCATCACCTGAGACGAGAAGTCCACCATCATCTGAGATGAGAAGTCCACCATCATCTGAGATGAGAAGTCCACCTTCATCTGAGACAAGAATCCACCATCATCTGAGATTAGTCCACCTTCACCTGAGACGAGAAGTCCACCTTCACCTGAGACGAGAAGTCCACCATCATCACAGATGAGAAGTTCACCATCATCAGAGATGAGGAGTCCACCATCATCTGAGACGAGAAGTCCACCATCATCTGAAATTAGTCCACCTTCACCTGAGACGAGAAGTCCACCTTCACCTGAGTCGAGAAGTCCACCATCATCACAGACGAGAAGTCCACCATCATCTGAGACGAAAAGTCCACCTTCATCTGAGACGAGAAGTCCACCATCATCTGAGATTAGTCCACCATCATCTGAGATTAGTCCACCTTCATCTGAGATGAGAAGTCCACCTTCACCTGAGACGAGAAGTTCACCTTCATCTGAGATTAGTCCACCATCATCTGAGACGAGAAGTCCACCTTCATCTGAGACGAGAAGTCCACCATCACCTGAGACGAGAAGTCCACCATAATCTGAGATGAGAAGTCCACCTTCGTCTGAGATTAGTCCACCATCATCTGAGAGGAGAAGTCCACCATCATATGAGATTAGTCCACCTTCACCTGAGACGAGAAGTCCACCTTCACCTGAGACGAGAAGTCCACCATCACCTGAGACGAGGATGGGTTCACCAGCATCTGAGCGGAGGTGAAGAGTTCACTATCGTCAAACCGTCGTCTTGAGCGAGTGGGGGGCTGAGTCCATCGTCGAATGCGATCAGTCCACCCTCGTCTGAGGGATTGAGGCAAGTTTGCCACCATCCGAGCGTCTGCGATGAGTCCGCTATTGTGCTGAGTGAGCAAGACGAGTCCACCGCCGTGTGAGCGAGCTCCGCTTGGAGGTCGTTCCCTCGCCGTGCCGTTGCCGGGTTGACAATCCGGGCGAGGAAGTTTGAGAAGAAGGGCGCTCCTGATCTTGGGGTCGGGTCACGCACCAACCCGCCCGTATTCAAGGAACTTGAGTCGGAATGGCTGGAGCTGACCTGGTTGAGAGGTCAACTAGATGACAGCTCGTCTGGTGGAATGGTCAGCTGTATGAGAGCTCATTTGGTTGAGAGATTGTCTGGATGAGAGATCGTCTGGATGAGATCTCAATTGGATAAGAGCTCATCTGGATGAAGGTTCACCTGGATGACAGATTTCCTGGTTTAGAGCTCACCTAGTTGAGAGCCCATCTGGTTGAGAGATTAGTCTGGATGAGATCTCACCTTGATAAGAGGTCACCCGAATTAATTATCACCTGGTTGAAAACCACGTGATACTCAACGGCGCGACATGAGTGATGGATTTCAGGTCATCACGGTCACATTTGGGCGACTTCTTAAAGTCCACTATCATGGAAGAGGTGGTCGCAAAGTGCAGCCCGGTCGGTGTGTTCGAGATGAGGAGGCAGATCGTCGTTCGCCCGATTGAGCTCACCTGGTGAAGAGATTGTCTGGGCAAACACGTCGAGACAATCGAGTCATGTGTGTTGCTGCTGTTGTTGTTGTTGTCTATTACACGCTGTGTCAGGAAGTGCACGAGCAGTGGTGTTGATAGGCGCCCGTGACGCTTCGGATGGCGTGACAATTCGAGCCTTTCAGCCCTAAACAGTTGGGAGTAGGGCTGAACGAGTTGGGGACTATCTAATTGCGATGTTTCTGACATTGCAATTGCGATTTGATTTGCGATTACAATTTTTTTAAGTCAAGCTTCAGTTCAATATTCACTGTGTAATAGATTTAAAACATGTGATGATGGAGCATTACTACACGATACCATCAAAATATTAACTGCTCTATGTATTATAATGCAAGGATGAGAACTTGAAAGATATGAATTGCTTCCAACATGTATTTATTAAAATGTTTTAATTGAAACAGAACAATCACACATAGAACAATTGTTAATTTAAATTTAAAAAAGTTACTATAATAATTCCAATAAGAAAGTAATAGGACTTTTCAAATCGCTAAAAAATCGCAGCCATTGCGATTTGCTAATCGCATTGTTTCACAATTGCGACTTCGATTTGAAATCGATTCATCGTTCAGCCCGAGTTGGGAGCATCGGTCCTGTGTTGTGCTGCCCTCTGTTGGCGGGGTGCAGACAGTGGATGGGAGATTTCGGTGGAGTGTCTGTGGAGAAAGGAGTGGAGGTGAAGGAGTGGAGGAGAAGGAGGGATGATTGGAGGTGGAGGAGGTAAAAGTGTAAGTGGAGGGAGCAGTGGTGGTGGAGAGTCAACACAATGAGTGCCGCCGTGAAGATTCAAGGCGAAGAGAACTCGGGAACAGTTCCCTCTGACGGGCCGTGCCTCGCTGGGGTTCCCATCAGCCGAGAGATGGAGACTGGAAGTCATTCGTCCACGATTCCACGACTTGCTTAGCAGCTCACTCCGAGGGCCTCTACCACCACAGGACCAGCGGTCCCGTCTCTGCGTGTGTGTGCGTGTGTTTGATTGCTATACCCAAACAAGGGGGAGAACTTGTCAAACGTGAGAGAGGCTGTTTACATTCGAACTCGACCGTGTACGTTGAGCGATCTTTGCGAAGCATTTGCACTTCGAGAACGAGTTAGCGGCGGTGTTCGGACTACGACCACGAAAGTTACGCCACCGTGCGCATTGATTGGTGTTCGCATGAACACAATGTGCAGCTGCCATGATGACGATGATGGAGTGAAGACGTCACGCACACTACCATGGACAGCGGTGTGCAGACGAAGGCACCTCGTGCTACCCGTGTGTATATATATAATACATATCAAATATTATTTTCATTTTACGTTTAAAAAAAGAAAGGAATAATCCTTTGCTCGAGTTGGGATTTTTCAGAGTCGCTGACCCGGGCCTCGCATCGAGGTCGGCAAGGGTTGGTGGAACACGAGGGAGATCGCCAAACACTTGGGGCAAGTGCTGTTGGCGAGCTCCTATTAAAGCCGCAACAGAAACGTGAGAGAGTGGTGTGCGTGCGGCGTGCGTGTGTGTGTGGCCAAAGCGGAGCGGTTAGCGCGCTTGTGATATGAACCTGGCGACCCGGGTTCGATTCCCGCTCACGGCCAACACCAGTGACGATTATCTGAACCGGTCCCGGGCTTCCCCTAGGTCGACTCAGCCTCAAATGAGTACCTGGGGCGGTGTGCAAACATCGCCACTAGGGAGACAAAGGCGGTCGGGCGTGGTGTTGGCCACCCACCCCCTCGTGTGCCGTTCCGGCCTTCATAGGTGCTCGCTAACAGCACTTGCCCCTACAGTCTGTTAAGGCTATACGGGGGATCTTTGTGGTCAAAGCCACGCCCGATCGCCTTCGTCTCAACCCATCAACGTCGTCCACGCAGCAACAGCCGCCATTCGCCACGAGGTGTCGGTGACGTCATCACGTGCCAGGCCAGGTGCACTCCAAGGCCACGTGGAGCGTCGATGACTCGCTGCTGGCAGGGGGTCGCGGGACAGACCCGGGTGCCGTGTATTGGCCGAGATGACTGGTGAATGCGCCACCAGTACACGTACACAATCACGCACACACAAACACTCCAGCAGGTAAACATGTTGGGCTGAGTCGACCTCGGGGAGGGCCACGTTCCGCTTGGTTACCAATCGCTGAAGTGCTGTCAGTGGTTGAAGCAGTGTGCGAACCACACACACACACACACCTCAAGACACATACCCCCCCCGTACTGTTTAGCCTTTAACAGGCACTTGGGGCAAATATTGTCAGCGAGCACCTATTAAGGCCCGCACGGCGCGCGTGCTGTGACCATCACCACAGCAGACCGTCTTTCTCTCCCCTGTGCTGGCTTTTCAACGCCGCACCAGATCCTCATTTAAGGCTGAGTCTACCTCGAAGAGACCCAGGACCGGTACAGTTATTACTCGCCACTGAATGTCGCCATGGCCTGGAACCGAACTCAGATCGCAGAGTTGATGGCGCAGTACCCTAACCACCGTTGCCCATATTCATTGACACCACACAAGTGGCGGGACGTCACCACAGGGCTCGTGCCAGGCTATGTGCACGTTAAGGCCAGGTGGAGTTTCGAGCGCCCGATGGCAGGAGGCCACTGGACAGACCCAGTGCCATGGTTTTGACTGACTGAGATGACTGGTCGATGCACCACCTGGGCCCACTACTGTGCCAACTTGCTGTGCCAACTTGCTGCGCGCGCACAAACACGTGTGCATTATTATCGAGTGGAGTTGTACATTTGTACACGTGTAGTGCCCATTGTATCGCTTCGCCTATACTCGTGTGTTTCGTGGCATGCGCCGGGTGTGAGTGCATTGTATCTCATACCCTGCCCGGTGGTGTAAGTCCATGCTCGGTAAGAACCATTTCGTCAGGTAGCCTCAATAATGTATAATTATCATTTACTGCCCTCCCTTCGTCAAGGCACTGCACGTGTCTCGGGCAAGCAGATTGTCTGACCATACATCGCCCCGTTGGTCGGTGCCGGTTGGTGAAAGGAGGCCCGGAACCGGTGCAGATATGACTCGCCATTGATGTAAGCCGTGGGTGGGAATCGAACTCAGGTGGCGGCGTTTATCATCAAGTGCGCTAACCACTGCGCCACTGGCCGGTCACTTATGGGGGTTTGATGGCCTGAGAACCTGGGTTCATCCGCCCACGATGAAACCGGGTCCTAAAATGTAGCAGAGTTGATCATTTCTTTCAGCCCGGTCACCAACGATTGCAAAGACAAAATACAAAGATTCCCCTATAGACTTAACAGACTGTTGGGACAAGTGCTGCTAACGAGCACCTATGAAGGCCGGC